TGTGCGTAATTGTTGTTAGCGTACTGGGTAAACTGTCTTTAAGAATTCTAGAAGATATCTTGTCCATTCCCGGAGCTTTGTTAGATGGTAGGCTTCTAATCACCCTTTCTACCTGATTTTCTGTGACTTGATGGAGCACAAATAATTCGGGGCTAACGTCGGTGGATATGTGTAAAGGAGTCGGCACATCCGAATTTACATTAAGTCCATGATGTAAAGATAAGTCCCTGGCTTTTTGAGCAGTAATACTGCCGATGGAAGTGAAGAAATCATTTAATTTAATTAGGATGCGTATATGATATAGAAAATACGGCAGGCAATGCAAGATGATGCCATCTGGGCTACCAGAATTCATCCCAAAAACCTAGCCAGCCCACCTTCTCATATGAACACATTGAAAGTTTTACAAAGGATTTAGTGATAAGGAGAGATCTCCGAAATTGGGCCGGCCCAGTCAACCGGGCTCATGAAGGGGTCCCATTAGTAACATAATGATATTTTTGTTGCATTGAATTTAGGGTTCAGTGAATGGGGAGATTGACAGGACAGCAGATAAGGAAGCTGGGAATGATCCTGAAGCAGAGAACTCTCAGGGTGCAGGAACTGTAGAAACAGGAGAACAACATGAACAAACTGATCTTGGAAGATCTAAATCATCACAGAGTGATCATCTTTATGATTCAGTTGATGCAAACGTAATTTCAAATCCCTTGCAAGACGAAAACAGGACAAAAGTGACATTTGAATCTTCTTTTGATCAGGAGAAGGAGCAGAGCTCTACAATTGTTCAGGGTGAACATGAATCAAATACTGCTGTTCCTAAAATTGAAATAATTGAAGGGTCCACTACTTTAAGTGATTCCAGTTCTGATGAGGATTCTGATGCGAGAGAAGAGCGGAGAAAAAAGAAATTGACAAAGAAAAAGAAAACTGATGAAAATAGGTCAGATGACTATGATGATGTGGATGAACTTAGAAGTCAAATAGACAGCTTATCAAAGGAAAATGAAGCAAACAAAGAACGTGTAGAAAATATATTGAAAGAGAAAACGTCATTAGAAGAAAGTCTTGAGGATGAAAGGAGTAAAACCCAGGTAATTACAGTTGGTAAACATAAACGTGTAAGGAGGTGTGCGAGTAATTTAGCGCAGATGCTGTCGTCAGGAAAATTTAGTGGTCTCTATGATACTGTTATTGGCTCCTTGTATTCGAGGGCTGTCACTGAGGGTCAGGGGCAGAAATTCCTAGCTGTTCAAACCACCACCTACTTATTGCACATACTCAGAGACTTGAAATCTTAGTGATCATTCAGTATTCTGTAGTTTGTTTGGTGATCTAGTCTCAGGTTGGATCAGTGCAGAGTTTGACTGAATTAGAAAAAGAAGTCTAATTGTTGTTGGTAGTCTATGTGCAACCACCATCCTTTATCAGAAGAACTACATGTAGTGTACCCCAATACTGGAGACACCCAAAAAGTCTTTCCTGAGATCACCACTTCAGTTTCGGGTGAAGTCTGTTTTAATTACTATTTTGTCAGTAAACCACTCATTAAATCTGT